GCGCACCGACATGGGGACGTTGGTGTACATCGCCTGCGCTGCCGCCAACCGGGTTGTGTTCACGCCGCGCGCCGCCAGCTTCTGCCAGAGCTGGTCCCCGGGCACGCGGTCGTAGGCATGCTTGAAGAAGAAGCCCCACAACTTGCTGGAGCCATGGAGAGGGTGCTCCATGGTCTGCTCACGTGGCCTATCATAGCGGGGTGACTGTAACACAGAGGCAACAACCCAGCGGCCTCGCAGCCTGACCTGCAGAGCTGAGCGACGGTTGAGGCGTTTATTTAGTTGGGGGACGCCTGCTGTCGGCGGCGGGGCGGTGCAAAGCCACATCCGGATGCTTTTTTGTTTGTCCGAAGCAACAAAAGCAATACTCCCCCTGCGTGGCTCGAACACGCGACCTCCCGGTTGCAAATTAACGATTATCTAACAGCCGAGCGCTCTAGCCAACTGAGCTAAGGAGGAAATCTACGATTCGTTTCGGCAATGTCGAGACGACCGTCGTGCAACTTTTGAATTTCGGGAGCCACATATTGCCGGAACAGCCCAAAATGGCTGCATCCGGGCGCGCATTCCGTCGTTGGCCGCGACGTTAAATAAGGAGCTGGATGAGTGCCGGTGGGTGATACCACAGGCACGAGTTCGGACCCCAGCCGGGACACTAGCTGGGACTTTGCCTCACGGCACCTTCGTGGCGGCATCTGGGCGGCGGACGGCTGCCCGGCAGACCGGCATGGCGCTTGCAAGACGGAGCCTCCCCGGGATGCCATCGGCGGCCAGATTTTCCTCGCTCTGGACAGCCGGCAGGGTTAGTGGGTTCGGCCCCAACACATTAATGTGCCCAATCCCTGTAACACACACACACACACACACGAATTTCTGGAATTACGCCATAGGGGACCCGCAGGCGGTATGTTGCAGTGCCTGTGCACTTGTGCCTGCTCGTGCCTGTTGTGCCTGCCGCGCAGTCGCTCGGTGTGCTTGTCCCCGGCACCCCCCTCCTTCGTTGGCGTTTGGCTACCCCCTTTTTTCTGACTTGAGCCTTGCCCCCCCCCCATATATGTCGCTTGCCCTCTGAGGGGGTTCCCGCCCACACGCCTGGCCGCTCCCCCAGCTTCTGTGCCGGGGTGGGTGGCGTCTCAAAACCGCTAACGCTGTCTGCTGGCGGTCCTGGCCCTTGATCCCCTGGGTCCGCTT